TAAAGATGACACAAATACTGTTTAAGAGTATTCAGAATTAGAAATGAGAGGACTAAGAAATAATCAAAGGTATTCCAACACAGGAAAACAGAAACACTCTGATGAAATTAAAGCTATGAAAACTATTAACTAGATAAAGCAAACACTCAAAGTTCTAAGCAATCTGAGTACATTTCTAGACCTGTTTTTTAACTCATTTGGTGATTCTGTCCAGGCAATCTTCTCCAAACATCTACTCCATAACATGGAGAGTAATGGAAAACAGTAAAGTGATTTGGAATAAAGATGAGATCCAAAGTTTAATACAATCAATTTTCAAGCACCTTTATGTTTCCCATAAACCCTAATTTTATGAGATATTCTTTAAGGAAAAAACGGGGGGAGGAGTGTCTTACAGGTAACTGCTACGTATTTTGGTATTTACATTGTATAGTACCCAAAATCTCAATCTCTGAGAAGTCCTGTAATAATAATTAACTTTGATGACTCAAGCACTGCCTACATTTGACTCTGTAATATTTGTTATTATTCCATGAAACACCTGAAACTGACTTTAATAAAGATTAAGATATTACAGTCTTTTTTATTACTATCTTGGGCAATTTCAGACAGGTCTGAAAGTGAAAGAAATTACAATTACTGGATAAAGTTAATACTGGGACTACTAGTAATTACATTTAGGCAAACCATTCCTTTACTTCACTGCTAGAAGTAGAACACTGGTTCGAAACAGAGACCAGAATGAAAACATAAAGCCAAGTTAAAAAGGAATTAGCCAGGCTTGATCCCTCAAATTTTCTGCTAAAACTCCTGAAAGCTCCCCAGTGACGAAGACAATCCTTCGGCAGTGGTAAAATAAGATTTCATGCTTTAAGCTTTTCTCTTTTTGTGTCTTTGTGGAATGCTTCATCGAGTCATCTGCAAGGTCTCACAGCTCTAATGTCATCTTCTCAACGTCTTCCCCTGCCATCTTATCTAAACTTAGCCTTCCCTTTCCCAGCTTCATCAAACACTCTACTACACTGTTTCTTCATCGCACTTATTTGATTACCAGCACAATCCAGTACCTAAGGAGAGTGCTGGACACACAGTGAATGTTCAAAAATTACTTACTGAATGAATAAATACCATTTGCAAAGCGACTTTCCATTTGTTTTACATATACCCACCAGGGTTAAATAAACACAGCAGGAACAGGGACCAATGGCAGTCATTTCTTTACTATTATTTCAGCTTGAAAAATGAACATGTCACTTTGCAATTTAATAATTTAAAAATACCAGTAAGTTGCTTTTTGTGTGTGCGCAGTATCATTTATTCAAACATGTCCAAAGTTTTTAAACTTTCACTGAAGATAAGCACATAATTTCAAGTCGTTTGGAGTAAATAAGAGTAAAAACAATCCTGAAAACATCTTTTGTATAAATGTAAGATATACTTATGTAGCTATACATACTGTTCAGAGTTGAACAGCTACTCTAACAGGTAAACTAATGCAGAGATTGAGATGGGAGGGGGAGAGGATCTACTTCTTCAAAATTTTACAAACTTAACAACAGCTAACTTTTATTGCATCCTTACCATATTCAGTGTACTGGAATATTTGCAATAAATGGCAGAACTTGAATTCAAATCCTGAGCTGTAACTCTAGATCCAGAGCATTTAACTAGTGGATTAAAGTGAGAGACTGAGACTGAATTATCCATAATGCAGCTTTTCCCTCTTTCTTTTTTTTTTTAAATTGAAGTATGGTTGATTTACAAAGTTGTGTTAGTTTCAGGTGTATAGCAAAGTGATTCAGATATATACATATATTCTTTTCCAGATTCTTTTCCATTACACATTATTGTAAGATACTGAACATAGATCTTTGTGCTATCCAGTAGGTCCTTGTTGTTTATCTATTTTATACATACTAGTGTGTATTTGTTAATCCCAAATTCCTAATTTATCCCCCTCCTTTTCCCTTTGGGTAACCATAGTTTGTCTTCTGTCTCTGAGTCTGTTTCTGTTTTGTAAGTAAGTTTATTGGTATCATCTTTTTAGACTATACATATATATATGTGATATTATGTGATATTTGTCTTTCCAACTTTATTTCACTTAGTAGGATAATCTCTACGTCCATCCATGTTGCTACAAATGGCATTATTTTATTCTTTTTATGGCTGAGTAATAGTCCCTTGTGTACATATACCACAACTTCTTTATCCATTCATCTGTCGGTGGGCATTTAGGTCGCTTCCATGTCTTGGCTACTAAAAATAGCACTGCTATGAACATTGGGGTATATGTATCTTTAGTTAGAGTTTTTGTCTTCTCCTGATATATGCCCAGGAGTGGGACTGCTGGATCATATGGTAACTCTATTTTCAGTTGGTAACGGAGCTTCCATACTGTTCTCCATAGTGGCTGCACCAATTTACATTCCCACCAAAAGTGCAGAAGGGTTCCCCTTTCTCCACACCCTTCCCAGCATTTAGTATTTGTAGACTTTCTGATGATGGCTATTCTGACTAGTGTGAGGTGATACCTCATTGTAGTTTTGATCTCCATTTCTCCAGTTAGTGGTGTTGAGCGTTTTTTTCATGTGCCTGTTAGCTATCTGTGTATCTTCTTTGGAAAAATCTCTATTTAATTCTTCTGTCCATTTTTTGATTGGGTTGTTTGCTTTTTTGATATTGAGCTGTATGAGCTGTTTGTTTACATGTTTTGAAAATTAAGCCCTCATTGGGTGCATCATTTGCAAATACTTTTTCCCATTCTGTATGTTGTCTTTTTGTTTTGTTTATGGTTTCCTTTGCTGTGCAAAGCTTGTAAGTTTGATTAGGTCCCATTTGTTTATTTTTGCTTTGATTTCTTCTGCATTGACTGGCCTTAGGAAACATGGCTACGATTTTATATCAGAGAATGTTTTGCCCATGTTTTCTCCTAGGAGATTTACGGTGTCCTATGTTATGTTTAAGTCTTTAAGTCATTTTGAGTTTATTTTTGTGTGTGGCACGAGGGAGTATTCTAACTTCACTGATTTACAGGTGGCTGTCCAGCTTCCCCACACCACTTGCTGAAGAGATTGTCTTTTCTCCACTGTATGTCTTGCCTCCTTTGCTGAAGATGAACTGACCATAGGTATGTGGGTTTATTTCTGAGCTCTCTATTCTGTTCCACTGATCCATGTGGGGTTTTGTGCCACTACCACTCTGTTTTGATTGTTGTAGCTTTGTAGTACTGTCTGGAGTCTGAGAGGGTTATACCTCTAGCTTTGTTCTCTTTCCTCAGGATTGCTTCAGCAATTCTAGGTCTTTTGTGGTTCCATATAAATTTTAGGATTATTTGTTCTAGTTCTGTGAAAAATGTCCTGGGTAATTTGACAGGGATCCCATTAAATCTGTAGATGGCTTTGGGTAGTAAGGCCATTTTAGCAGTATTAATTCTTCCAATCCAAGAGCATGGGATATCTTTCCATTTCTTTAAATCATCTTTAATTTCCTTAATCAATGTTTTATATAATTCTCAGTGTCTTTCACCTCCTTGATCAGGTTTATTCTTGACTTTTTTTCTTTAGAGGCAATTAAAATTTTTTTTAAACTTTCTTTTTCTGTTATTTCATTGTTAGTATAAAGAAATGCAACAGATTTCTGTATGGTAATCCTGTATTCTGTTACCTTGCTGAATTAGTCATTCAGTTTTAATAGTTATTGTGTGGAGTTCATTTGCAATAAAAGGCAGAACTTGAATTGAAACCTTAAGCTCTAACTCTAGATCAAGCATTTAACTAACTAGTGGATTAAAGTGGGACTGACTGAGATTGAATTACCCATAATGTAGATTTAATCTCCCCTCAACTGCAAAACTATATAACATTGCAACTTCTGGCTTAAGAAATCAACACAAAGAGCAATTAATTTATCTCCAACAAGGGTTCAAGATTTCCACCACATTCTGAAGTCTCCTCAAGGCAACTCAAAATAATTTCTTTAGTCAGAGCTAAAATTTCCAAAATGATCTCTGAGTAAGGAACACAAGACCTTCCAATCTTGACAGACAATTCTCCAATTTTCCAAGTATCAAAAGCAACAAAACCCAAAACTTGCTAAACAAAGTCATGTAGAGCTTTCTAAAGAAAAAATTTGCCTAGTACAAAATACTTCTGCCTGGCATACTATGAAATATTAGCCTCAGATTTTAAAATTCAAAGAAAAAAGAACCCTGATTACTGACATCTGATTATTGACAAAGTAGCCACAAATTCAAGTTACTGGTCCCTAACCAGACTGTCATTTTTCTCAATGACATAAATCCAGGTTTTCAATTTGCCTTATACGTATTCTCAAAGTATTCTTTATGAAGAGAAAAATCTACATTAAGAATAATATACATTTATGTTACATATATACATAATAAATTAACTGAGCAACTGGCTCACAATGACAAGGGCAATTTTAATAACCCAATCTGCAAAGCCAGAACAGTCTTCTTAAAAGAGCATTTAAAAAGAAAAAAGTGAACATTAGCTTCCCCTCTCAATCCAGATAAGCAGAAGACTACACTTAATACATACATTTAGTTTGCTATTTGAAAATGACCTAATGACCCCATTTAATTATTCATCAGGCTGAAATCTTAGAACATTTTTCTTTCCACATTCTTCAATCTACATTTATAATGTGAGTCTCTGCAAGCATCTTGATTTTGTCTACACTTTATTTCACCTATTGTGTATCATTCCTCTGTTTATTAAAAATCCAAATAACTTTAAAAATTGCAATACAGTGACATCAGATAACCTGATTTCCCAGGTTTCTAAGTGCAAGAATATTCCACTTGCCCAAACCTGCTGCTACTTAAATAGGTTCAGTCTATCCCAATAATTATTTACTTAATAAAAGTCACTTTAAATGGGAACAATTTGAATTATCAGACTGAAGCTTATTTTATTTTGTCAGATTACTGAATAGTCACGTAAGGTACATGAGATGTAAGAATGACCCAGTCTTACCTTTGTCAGTTGATACTTTTTCTATGCATCTGAAAGAAAAGAGAATCAAATATTAAATGAAAAATATTGCACATTGTCTTAAAATACAAATATTTCTCTCTTTCAGGTTCATCTCCAGAGTGATGTAGAAAAACATCTACAGCAGTACTGTCCAACAGAGCTTTCTGCAGTGATGCAAATATTCCACACCCACCAATCTACCAACATGGCAGTCTCCATGTGGCTGGTGAGGGTACTTGAAATAGTTACGGGACTGAGGAATGGAAATTTTAGTTTTGATTAATGTAAATTTAGTCATAAGTAGCTATCATATTTGACAACACACAGATAGAAAATCATTCAAAACAGTTGTTTTTAACTATAAAAATATTAATACAAAGAAAATACTGCTGATTTTGTTATATTAAATGGTTATAAAAGAAAAATGTCCTTATTTTACAAAAATACAGTAACTAGGGGTGATATGAAACAAGGTTTGAGAATTCCTCTAAAATACTTCTGCCAAAAGAAAAAGAGAGGGGGAGGAGATAGAGGTAACAAGTATGACAAAATCTCAAAAATTGTTATAACTAGGTGATAAATACTGAGGTTTCATTATACTGTTTTCTCTACTTTGAGTATACTGGACAATTTCCAGAACAAAAATTTAACAAGCCTAAACAAAAACCCTAAAATTATTCATCTGTTAAACCCAAGTCAAAATCTATTTCTAAAAAGGCAACAGATTGGACCTCAGAAGTAAATATAAACTGCATTTTACAAATTAGACAGGAACAGTAAAGAATCTAGTATGTTATAAACTACTGATATAAAAAATGTTTTTCTCATGTTTTTAACTCAGGAAAACTTCCATCATACATAACTGTTGAGTATAGTTATTATGAATCTCCCCATAGCCATTATCCAAATTAAAAGCTGACATGTCTTGGATCTTTAACATGAAGATGCCAAACAGCACCTCCGAGCAATACAAAGTTTTCTTTTTTTTCAAAAGTAAACCTAACACAAATGAAGATCCTTATGTTATAAAAGAATATCCAAGCAAATACACAAGCCACAGGATAAAGAAACTGTCTTATTTAGAAAGACTAGCTATCATTTTCTCATCCCATATCGTTTTAAAAAGCTTGGTATTATCATTTTAAATTACTAATGTCCCAATTAACAACTAATACAAGATAAGTGCTAATCATCTTTACAAATAAAAAGTACAGAAATAGTTGCTAGATCTTGAAACACTAGACAGTAAACTTTCCAAAAATCTTTCGGAATGGTTCAATGTTTCCTTTACCATATTGATCACCATAAGAGAAAAACTCAGGATTTCAGGCTTGTACGACTGAAACCGTCTCCGAAGAGCCTTAGAAGTTTTTTTCAATTCAGAATATTACTGCCTTTGCATTCTCACTGTCTAAGACCCTCACCTTTTCCTTACAAAAGTAGTAAGAAGGTGTCATGCAAGAAAATAAACCCCAAATGGAGTTTCATATTTGGGAAAACAGAGCAGTATTTGTTTCCTTCATTTGTAACCCATCTGACACCTGCAGGTTTACCTCTAAGAATACTCAGTTTTAGCCTATATTCCTTGTGGTGAGGAAACAGCTTTCCTCAATAGGTAAATCAGAAGTTAAAAAAAGTATTTAAGTTTTAAATTCTGAAATGTATTAGATAACCAGAGGACTTATTATCATGGTAGAAGCAAAATAAGCTTCTTGCATTTAACCTAGTCTTATTTTAACAATTATATTGTGTCCTTATTAGTAGAAAGCATAAATGTTTTAACTCAGGAATCAGAAAAAAGCTGAAGTGTGTGTGTATGTGTGTACATACATATAGATATAAGGATCTTAACTCTGGAATTTATTGGCTAAAATAGAGCAAATGAAAAGTATTGATTCTTAGCATTGATATATAACTTTTCTTCAAATTTGGTTTATCTTTCCTTACTATTAGTCTTTAAGTTTTAATTTATAACGATCATAAATTTAACTTTATGCCTTTCTCTTGAGCACGTTCACTGAAAAATTCTTTATTTCCCTTCACAAAGATTTCCTACTCTTTTTATTAACTTCTGAACATTCCAATGCAAACAGAAAATTGTTATAAGCTTAGAAAAGTTTACAAAAGCTCTAACCTAATTGTCATCTAACTATAAAGCTCACTTCACAAACTGTAAGTTGTCAGCTAAAAATGAAGAAGCATATTTAAAGAGGTTAAGTGACTTGCCCAAGGTCATTTAGTAAGCAGCAGCAAGCTGGGACCTGAAACTGACTAAAGTTCAATGCTTTCTCTCTGTTATTCAGCCTTGCAATAGGAAAAGAGGTTTCAATCAATCCAAGTCTCTGTAATAACTGACCTTTTAAGCTATTGTACACTTTGCTGCCTCTTCAGTCAAGAGAAACAAATGTAGGTTAAACAGCTGATTACTGGGAATTTATTGGGGTGAATGTTATTTGGAAAACAGAGCTGAATCAAGGTCAGAAGGCACTTGACCGGAGTTCGGTAAACTGATACACAAAACTTCTTGAAATGTCTCAAAGGATTAAGTTTCTTACTTTACTAGTTTTAAAATTTATTTGATCACTATGAAAACCTGTAAACTGTTCACACATTTGACAAACCTCCACTAATCAATGCATCTTCCCTTTTAATTGCAAAGTCCTTGAAGATGAAGTATATGCCTCATTTTTCTCTATAAACCCTGGCTCAGCACAGTATCAGAGCCAGTTACTGCTCAATCAAGATTTAATGAGCTGAAATGCTTTAAGAGTCCTTTGATTTCCAGGGCATCCAGTATATTGAAAATGTGTAACAAAAAAGAAAAATATTAAAATGAAAATTTATTACAACAATTCAATCAAAACTGCGTAATTTAAAATATATAATCAAGGGACAGTTCTAAGGCTAAGGTAAAAGAACACTACTAACTTTTATGACATTGGATGAGAGAGAGAGGGACATTAAGAATTAAGACTATTCTTTTCTCCTCATAAGGAATATTGTGAAGAAAAAAACTGAAGGGGTTTAATTAAGTCATCTTCATCCAAGCTCAATTGTTTTAACATTTATATCGTGGACATAAAAAAAGACTCAGTGGTATTTTTTTCTGCCAAGAGTTAAGATAAATAATAAACCATGACAGCTACCACTCTAGGTATAATTATCTTAGAAGCCCGCTGCTGTAAGTAAAACTGGTGGCTCAGTAGGAGGGAAATGTAGCAAGGAGATAAAGGTATAGTTAACTTTCAAATGAATAGGTGAAAATAGAAGAGAATTTTTAAAATAATAAATAAATTTTAATCTTCCTATGTATGTTAATAGAAAAGAATTAAAAATTCACTTTGCCAGAATTTACATGAAAAACACTACACATCAGTTATATACCTCCACAACACTGCTCAAAACAATAACTTTTAATAAATATTTACTATGTACCAGGCTTTTGTTATGTGTTTCACATGCTGTACTTAATTCTCACAAACTCAGAGAGATTTATCTCCTATTGATAATAAAACTGAGACACATGCAGTTTAAGAAATTTGTCCAAAGAGTTTATACCCAAATAAGGCTAATGATATATCTTCAAATTTATCAGATTAAATACAGGAGCTTAGAATTTTTGTGACCATAAAATTCATTTGCAGTAATAAGAATCCCATTTGCAGCTGAATGATTTGTAAGGACAGATTTTTGTTGTCCACAGAAACAAAATTTACACAATTTTCTAAATTATGTTAACTTAACTAGCACTGAATAATTTGAAAGCACATCTAATACCACAATATTCTTTTGAATTTTATTTCTCTTTCTGAGAGTCTTCCAAGACAAGCATGCCAAGGTCACAGACTTCACTCATTTTTGGAACAGGTGTGTTTCAAGTTTTAAATCTATTAGGTCCCTATAAGCCAAATGTTGCCACGGTCTCTATGGGGGAGGTAGAGTGGTGGGGAAATCATTTAAAACTGATTTATCCCCCCATCTTCAATTTTCCCTGCTTTTCACTAATTTGTTTTTACTCGAAAGTCAAGACACAAATGTTTTCAGAAGCGAATTCAACGGCTGTGCTTAATTTCTAGAATTTACAAACACGTGTGCTTCAGTATTCTGAACACAGAAAAGTTTCAAAAAACAATATAAAATATTTATTATTTCTGGTTATCTATTCTTGGTCCCTCTATGATCCCTAGGTAATACAGAAACTCCTTTCAGATTATTTTAATTTTTAAAGACGAAATTCCTACATTAAGACATATGCAAAAATCAAGCAAACAAAAACATATGCTACCTGTCAAAAAAAATTTAAGAAAACCCAATCTCGTTAAACCTGTCAAAAAAAAAAGAAATCTACCTAATCTTGTTATATGAAAGACTACGCTGAAAATTGGCAGAGCCACGTTTTCACCCTATTAGTATCAGATTTTTAAAACGAGTGGAAAATGTGAAAATTTAGTAGCGTGATAAAAAGCTCCAAAATGATACCAGTACAACTGGCTCTTGAACTAATTAATAGGAAGGTGGGGGCGATACACTTTTGAAGGCATATTTAAGATCGTGCTGTTGATTTTCCTACGGGGATGTGATGTAATACTGGAGAGCCGCCTAAGAGGGAAAGGACGGGCTGACAAAGGGCGTGCAGATGCCAGAGTGCTGGAGAAGCCCGAGGAGGCAGGGAAGAGGTGGGTCCCAGGGGAGCCGAAGAGGTGCATCCCACAAAGGACCTCGGGGAGCGGGGCAGTGGCCCGACCACAGGCGAGGGGGCGGGGAAGCCAGAGAGCAGCGATAAGACAGCGGCTAACAGGGAAGCGGTGTGACATCTGGCATGCGAGCCGGCAGGGGGCAGAGCGAGCGGCACGTCACGTGGAGTGGTCGCTACGGGAGCCGAGAGGGTTGCGTGCGGTTGAGGGGGGTCTTTCCCACCGCCAGAAAGGCTGCGTTACTCACAGGAGTCGCGGACTCTTCTTGCCCTGAGCTGGAGACGGGGGCTTCGCGGCCTGGGACTGCTGCCCTGGGGCGTCGGGAGGCCTGGCGCTGGGGCTGCTCCTCCGCCGGCGGGGATACTCGGCCTTCCTCCGGCGGGACACAGCGGCGGCGGCG